CTCAAGGACTTCTAATTTGAGAAGATCCAAATTTAAAGCAAGATAAGGCCTGCTTCAATTTTCTTGTCCCTCTCTTGAGTGGCCCATATTGAATTGTCCTACAGTGAGTTGTCCCGGGGCAAGTTGCCTGGGCATGAGATAGCTGAGGCGAGACAGCCAGGATGAGTCAGCTGCAGCGAGTTAACCTAGACCTTTTAACATCTGCATGTATTGGAACAAGGTGTGTATTGGAGGATGTAGCCACCGACTCTGAAAGCTACTGTTTTATGTCAAAATGTTCAGCTGTCCTCTCTTCCTACAAAAATAAATAACAGAGTGCTGTCTGTTTAGAGTACAACCCATTTATATGCAACAGTTCGTTCTTAAGATCCTGATGTTGCCACTGTTTAATTTGATTCAATTTCTACAAGGAAATCACAGAGGATCAACAGTTTATATGGGCTGATATTCTGTTCATCATAGTACAATACTTGAGCTATATAACAAACTTATTTCAGCTGCCAAAAGACAGAAAAACTATTTAGTATAGAAATAGTTGTGACAAAGAAGGATAAGGAAGGTATAGAGTTAAGAGTATGTTCCCAGGAGATTTAAGAAGCTCCATTTTGCCTTCTTTGATGTAAACTTTTGTAAAACTCAGCAGTCATTTCTGCTATGTCACTCTTCAAAATATTTGAGTCATCTCTAGTCTTCTTAAGACTTATATGCATACAGAAAATGATAAAAAAAAATTAGCTGTAATTATTATTGTATGATTCACACATGTAAGTGTGAATCTCATACATCACTTAGCAAACACTGTTTGATGATGGTCACCTGAGCACATGAAACAAAACAGGTGCAGTGAAGACATTTAAATTCTTAGCTCCAGAATCAGAGTTTTCTTATAGTTCTTGGATATTATTGTAGTCCTCAGGAAACCAACATGGATATATTAATCCTTTGTTGTCTCCTAGAGAGAAAGATGGAAAAAATTAAGGTGATGCCTTATTTTGCAGGGGATTCACTCAGCTATCATCAGGGACGTCCATTTTCCACCAAAGACAGGGACAATGATGTTGCCGTTACAAACTGTGCTATGTCATACAAAGGGGCCTGGTGGTATAAAAACTGCCATCGAACTAACCTCAATGGTAAATATGGTGAATCCCGGCACAGCCAGGTAAGAGCAGGATCAATATAGTACTGTTTGCAAGAAAGAGCCTATTCTTCTGACAAGGGTATAAGAGTGAATGAGAAGCCAGTCAGTTCGTCATTTAGATATGATTAGTTTCAGGGATCAAATTAACTAGTAGCACTGATTATATTACCCAGTTTGGGTAATGAAACATCAGCACCAAGAACCCCACATAACTAATAACAAATGGCAGTTTACATTTTCTCTAAATGCCAAAAGCTTTTTTAAAAACAACAACAATAGCAAATAATATCTATGGGGAGGAGAAACTCATCTGGAACTAATCCCAGCCTACATAATTTTCTTAACAGCCCAAATATCTACTGATGGAGCCACTGCAGCAAAGTATACTTTGTATGGGCTACTTACAGTTTGAAAGCAACATGGCATAAAGTTCAAACCCCAGTATGGAAAAAATGCTATCAGTATGGTCAGAGTTTATAGTTTCCCCATGCCTGGAGTTTATTGCTAATATTACTGTTGTTGTTATACATATTCCCTATTAATTACATAAGCTTTTATATTTAGAGCTTTAGGAAACTGTTTTAAAATAAAACAGAAAATATATTTTAAAAACAGAGTATGGGGCAACAGTTTGGAAGAGTTAGAATTATGCACTACATTAAACCAGTGTCCAGGTAAAATATAAATTTGAATATTCCAATCCTTTTGGCCATTAAAGGATAGCCCTTGTAGAGAATGAAACACAGCAGGAAAAAAAGTCTCACTGTTTTAAATGCACCAGTAGCCTCTATGTTGAGGAGATTTATATGGAGAAAAAAAATTAAAAAATTAGTGTCTTAAGATTGAATGTGGTTATGGATAGAATGTTTATATCTCGTTTTGCTTAGTTAATTCTGGTTCTTACAAAATAATAGGATTATATGCATTCTAGAGTGATAACAACTAAAAAATCAAGCCCAAATTATCTTTTATCCATCTCAGATGGCTATCTGTATTTTCTATTCACAGAGAGATTATATACAATAAATAAAAATATAATCTCTTTATCTGCAGCCCAAAGTGGTCTTTTGTTTAACACCTCATTGTTCACAATGTTTATGTCCAAATGTTTGGTATTACATAAGTAGTGATACCACATCCGTAAGGGTGAGGATAGCTAGACAAGTTTGTTAAAAGTTTTGTCATTTTTATGAACTGTTCCCACTCGAATTATTGTGATATTTTGGCTTGAAAGAGTGCAATATATTTGCATCTCATAACTGGAAAGAGGTGCTGTGCAAATGGTTCCAAGCATATTGATCCCTTTTCCTCTCTTTGGCCTTCAGGGTATTAACTGGTACCATTGGAAAGGACACGAGTTCTCCATACCTTTTGTGGAAATGAAAATGCGGCCATATAACCATCGCAACTCCCTCGGGAGGAAACGCCGATCAGTACAACTGTGAAATGGCAGGAATCCTTCTGGACATGCAGTCCTTTTCTGTCATGCATTTGCATTTTATAATATGACAAAAACAAAAGTAAAACTGAGGTAGAAACCTGCTCCATGCTGAGGGCTGAGGAACACCATGATACCCCAGAGGGCTGACTAACTTTGATAAAAGAACAACCTTAATGCTTGCTATCATTCCTAGGAACCTGTTGGGCTCCAGCCCAGCCCCACTTCTTTGGGTTTTCATTCCATTCCTTCTTGAAATTATTAGTTAATGGCTTCATTTAAGGTCTTTGTCTTTGCCCAAATTCTACAGTTGGTTATGGCCACTAGATCGGAGCAGCAAAAATCCAAGTCACCAGTAGATGACAGAAAGAGTTAGCATTTTCTCTCCATCTTTTTTTGCCATCCAGATTTTTGCAGTCTAGATCTGTTGGCCCTACTCAGCCCTGTTATAGATGCTTTCTTTTATATGCCAGCCTGCTTTACCAGAGGGTACTGAGAGGGAGGAGCTCGAAGAGCTATTTTTAAAGATATTTGGACCCATGCAGAATTTTCACAATGATGCCTATTGAGTCAGCATAAGGCTGCCAGGAAGAGAAGTCAAATGAGCTATTTATTTCAACTCCTGTCGATCCCATCCTGCCCTGAACAGACAACAAGGATACATACACACATATACATATACAAACATATGCATATATGCATACACAAACATATATGCATACACATAAACAAGCATATATAATTCCTAAAACAGTAACCTTCACATTCACAAATTAGCTTATAGATATGAATGGTGTAGACATACACACACTGAACTCTATTTGGAAGCAAAGTCCTCACTTCTAGACTGTTCTCACTCCATATTGTTTTGCCTTCTTTTTATTAGAGGCTAAGGTAAGGAAAGGGATTTGTGGATTACTCTGGCTTGTTTTCGTTCCCACCCAGTGTCATCACCAATTAGTCTTCCTAGAAAGGATGGAATGGAGGGGCCATTTTAGATGGATGCCTAAAACAGTATGTTGAGCCATCAATCAAATTCTCTACCTAGCAAATAGTTGGTGCTAAAGAGTGGGGAATGGGGAAAAGTAGACAGGTGTTTTCCCAGTGATCCTAATAACTTCCTCCTCTGTGTCTATGACCCCTCAGGGTATTTCTGAACACAAGTTTAGCACTCTTCTGAAAGAACCTGAACCCATGTTCAAAAATAGCCCAGCTGACTCATAAAAAGCAAAAGGGGTAGCACAGAGCAGAGGAGAGAGGAACATTAATGAGTGAGATCCAATGAGTGAGATCCATCTTTATCTAATGCTGCAAGGGAAGGGCACTGCTGGCAGAAAATGGCCAATGAGTACACTAAACTAGGTGGTAGCCAGGCACAGAGAACCCACAACTGGAACTGACCCCCATATAATAACAGCATGTAACCCAGCACTGCCAAATCCAGAATAGAAGGGCAAAATTACACAGCCATCCCCGCTGCCACCAGAGGCTACATGAGTTACTGTAGTAGAGTCTTGTACACATGGCTACAAGAAATGCAATTGCAGTATATTAGCCCTCAAAAGGGCAAGGCAACAAGTGTAGCACATGTGCAAGTCCTTTTAGAAATAATAAACATAGAAAAAATGGTAAAATATGCAATCACTTGAAATCTCTCTCTTTTTTTTTTGTAGGTACAAGGGGGAAAGTCTGTAATACATCCAGGGGTGACCATAGCTAGCAGAAATCTGTTTCCCAGTTTATATTGATCTTCTATGCAGCACAGGATTAATTTTCATCCAAGAGACCACAACACCCATGCTATAAAAGAGGTTCAACACTCTTGCAGATAAGCACCAAACCATATTTACAAGCAGCCACTGAAATACCTGGCCAGCAAGTGCCAATATGGCATTACATGGAAGGATGCTGCAACCTTAGCCAAATTGACCGTAGCTGGCAGTGCAAAGCAACTATAGAAGAAGGGCTGTGCTCACAGCAGCCTATAGTGACTAGTAGGGGTTGGAGTGATCCCATCTCTTGAGTTCAGCAACCAAATGATCAGTGAAGGATGCCAGAGGGTATCCATTTTGTCAGGAGAACAAAAGGTCTATTTTAATACCAGATGGGCAAAATATGGTAGAAAAAAAGGTAGCCAAGGCTTGTTCATGCTATGACTAGGAGGAAATGCAGGCAAGACTTAAGAAGGCAAATTCTTTATATAATTACTTCCAACTATATAGTTACAACATGATCACCAAAACACAAATATTGTCCTCCTTTATTGGGGAATATTGTTCACCCTTGGGAATAATCTCTGGAACCCAAATGTAGCTGTTTGTTTATTTTCTTTAAGAAAGATCAGCAAGTGGAAATAGGAGTTTATCTGAACCAGCTTTCAGGATGTGTATTTATCTTAACACATCTTCCCATGTAATTTTCCCAGTCAAGTCTCTCTAGACTTCTTTCAGCCCATGGCAGTTGCAGCCTCAGTCCCAAAAGCCTCCATGTTGTGTTTTTCTAAAACAAAAAAAGTTTCCACACTATAAATAATAAAAATCTTAACATAGATGTCTATATTTTCTATCATGGTCCCCAACCTGTCTTCCTTCATAATACCAAGTGGGGGGGGGGGGGGGGGGAGATCCGCACATGTGTCTCTTACACATAGAAAACAAGCATGATGAATTGGAGCTTATCTTGCCCCAGAGCCTTGTGTGCTTATAAGTTCTGTGAGTTGGTTAGGCATGAAGGCACATTCAAGTGAACCCATGTTTGTACAAGTTTCAGGCTTTGTCCTTTTCAATAAAATGTAAGATTAATTAGATGGGCAGCAGACCTTAATCCAATCCATTTCAAACACTTATTCTTCTATCTGCATGTGCTGACCAATTCTCTGAATTGGTTCTTGCCCCTACAAATAGCAGTTTAGTGTATCTCCTCCATAACTGCAAAAGTGATCCATTAGCTCACAAAGCATTGTATACATCACTGTGTCTGTAAACCCAAACAGATCCCTCTTAACATGAGTTTATATAAAGATTGTAACTGCAGAGTGAACCAACACAAGTTAGTGACATTTTTGCAAACATTTTAACAGAATATGCATCTATAGTTGTCCTTTAGAAATCAAATAACAGAATTTTAAATAAACAGAAGCATGGGAAACATCTAAATTAACAGCAAAGATGCTGAAGGTCAGTAAATGAATATGTTCTTTTGATTTGGCTGTGAGTTTATTACTGTTGGGCAACACCATACCAGGTAAAAAAGGCATTATTGGGGAAGGAAGGAAGGAAGGAAGGAAGGAAGGAAGGAAGGAAGGAAGGAAGGAAGGAAGGAAGGAAGGAAGGAAGGAAGGAAGGAAGGAAGGAAGGA